GACCAGTAATATTTGGGGTCATAAGTTTTGGCCATGGATATTTTGTGGGTCAGAAGATAAAAAGTTTGGGAACCACTGGTCTAGATGCACTACCAAGCGTGTATCTGAGCTGGCCAAGAGCTTTTGTTGACACTGATCAGCTGACTCATTTAAATGCTCCTTAATATTCACGAGGCACTTTGCATTGACTGTTTATAGTTGAGTGTGGGCATGTAGGGGGTAGAACCTGAGGCGGGAACTTGTGCGCAAACTCTGAGGTGCAGCTGGGATCTATTAAGGAAAAATGCTTGAAGGTGGTTTTATAAATGTCATTTTTTAAATTTTATTTATTTATTTTTTGCGCAGGCCCTACGCATTTCCACATTTTGGTCATACGTTTACTTTAAAATAAATTCTATGCAATCCTTATAAATGAGAGCCAAGAACCGAACAGACTGACAGTAGTTTTTTCCCCACGTTTACGGTGGATTGTTACCAGAGGTGGGACCAAGTCAGTGTTTTGCAAGTCTCAAGTAAGTCTCAAGTCTTTATCCTCAAGTCCAGAGTCAAGTCCCAAGCAAAGACAGTCAAGTCAAGTCTCCAGTCAAGACGGGCAAAAGTCAAGTCCCAAGTCTGAAACTTGGAATGTCAAGTCCTTTCAAGTTTTTATTTATTTATTTAAAAAAATTTACCTATTCAAATTCAATTCAAAAATAATTTATTGATCCCAGAGGGAAATTAGGTAAGGTTACCAATGTTGCAATTAAATGTTAAATGTAAAAAAAATAGACCATATGTTCTTTTTTGGTGGTAAAATAAATATTTGTCAGTCCAAGTGGGGGTTAAATCTACAGTCTGTTGCCAATTTCACATCTCAGTATTGATAAAGACGTTGCGTGAATAAAACCTGCTAGAATCACTACTGTGGTGGAAATATATAATCCTGCTGCTAAATTCAAATTACCTTGACATGTTCTATTCTGTTTTGATTACTGCCACATTTGTATAACCTGTCTTATTATAAGACGTATGTATGTCTGCAACCTTGCTCTTATTCTGAAGTGCTCAGTGCCGGCTGTCGCTTTGTCATTGGTTCTCTGTTAACATTTGTCATCCTGTGATTGGTTGCCTACAAACTCCAGCAGATGTTAATAACTGTCTGTTTCCTGTTAGCTCAGCAGTGCTGACTTGGCAGAGTTTGGCTGATTTCCTCTCCGCCCTGTTCTGACTCGATCTCTGCATGCAACCTTATTAAATCATTTGACGACCAAACCACGCAGTTCACTTTGTTTAATTCACGAGTTTCTGCCTTAGTGGAATATTTCCATTACAACTACCAAAGACACAAAATAATGTGCTGCACTGTGTTAACTACCCCCACTGTTATGTTCAGGGTCCTTATTATTGCACAATTTATATTTTAACAGGAATTTCAGAAGGATAACAAAATAACTGCATTTTATTTTGGAAATGTGCAACATGTGACCCTCACACCGCCATTTAATGAGTTATAACTGAAAAAAAAAAACAGTATACTTGGTACACTGACTGCAGTAAACAATTTATTATCAATACATTTTCTTGACAAAGATGTCTTCAAATACACAATCCATCCTCAGATGGAACTGGACCCAGTTCAGCAGGGACAGAGAGAAACTCTTCCCCGATTTCAAGTACAGAACCTGCTATCAGATTTACAGGTGGAGGCCAACGTGAGCAGKACCAGAGACAAACAGAGACGAGATATGCAAAAGGTTAGTGATTTTATTTTTACAGGTGCGGGAGGGGTCTGGGATCTGGACCTGGACCTGGAACAGAACGATTGCAGAGGTGAGTATTTGATAATTTCCCAGTAATGGTCTTAAGCAGGTGTCGTGTATTTCAGGTGTGTATGTCCCTTTAAGACGGGAGCGAGCACCAGGCATGCTCATGCGTCTCTTTGGGAGAGTTCTTCGTAACGTGTAGCTGTATGAACCCTCTTCCATCTCTCGTTAAATAAACATGTCTAGAAGCTGAAGAAATCGCCTTTTCGTCATTCAAATGTTAGCCTAGAGTTTTATTGACATTTGACAAGTTTTCAGGAGGAAATCCACTGGTTTTCATCGACCCAGGAGCAAGCCACCGACAGCGAACCCAGCACCGAAGCAGCAGCACCAGACTTGAGCAGACANTAAACATGTCTAGAAGCTGAAGAAATCGCCTTTTCGTCATTCAAATGTTAGCCTAGAGTTTTATTGACATTTGACAAGTTTTCAGGAGGAAATCCACTGGTTTTCATCGACCCAGGAGCAAGCCACCGACAGCGAACCCAGCACCGAAGCAGCAGCACCAGACTTGAGCAGACACAAGGGAGACGAGAAGGGCCCAGCCGAACCGAAACGGAACCAGAGAGACACAACACAGGCAAGTAAAACTGGAGTTCTTACGGGCTGGGGAAGGAGATGAGGCGTGGAGGAGTTGGTCCAAAAAGGTGAGGATCTTGAGGTGAGTATTTACAGGTGAGTTGGTATTTACAATGATACGTGGGAGACGGCGCATGAGATTCTGGTGAGAGGCTCTGAGTCCAAGGCAGCAGGCAAAAACGTGCTGGATACTGTTTTCTGCAAACAGGTAAATACAAAAACAGAGTAACAAGCAGCAGGCTGAGCTCATACCAAACATGAGGCAATGCTTCAGCGATGAGTTGATCTTCAGCACTGCCTTAAGAAGCCTGGAGGTAATGAGCCAAATCGCATGCAGGTGTGGGTAATCAGCGCTGCCACCAATCATGGAGGTAGGGGGTGGAAACACCAAAATGCCTCTCCTGCTTTCTGAAATGGACCCCCGCTCACCATCCACTGGCAATCATGAACTAAAACGCTGAACATTATTCGTGGATGCACTTGAAGGACCTGGGGTCAGATTTATAAAGGATTGCATGGAAACCATACTAAGAATGAACGTACGGCCAAAAGGCAAAAATGACGTACACCAAAAAATATTCAGATTTATAAAACCGTGTTTATGCATGTTTCTGAGCATCTTTCCTTTTTAGATCACAGCTTCACGTCAGAGTTTGCGCACGAGGTCCCGCCTCAGGTTCTACCCTCTACACGCCCACACTCAGCTAAACAGTCAATGTAAAGTACCTCATGAATGTTAAGATGTATTTAAATCAGTCAGCTGATCAATGTCAAAAGAAGTGATTGGCTCAGACACGCTCTGTCCTGTGTCTGGAG